GTTACAATTACATGGGCAAGATAATGAGTACATTTCTTATCAAGCATTGTAGCCTCCTCCTTTGTTTCCCCTTCCCATCACTTCCCAGCCTCCCCCCACCCCCCCACCCAATTCTCCCCACTCCCCCACCAAAGTTGTAAAGTCCATTTTCAACATGACAACTTGTACTTGTCATTGTTGCAACGGGTCCACCTGTATCCTTATTTAAACGACTTGTTTTTCCCCTTCCCTTCCACAAATTATACCGACACCAAATACATTGAAAGCAGGTGTTATACTGTGGGGGAAGGACATACAAAGCAACAAAGAAATAATCTTATAAATGCTTTAGAAACAAATGCATGAAAGAAAAAAAACACTTAAAAACCTATCTTAGGGTTCATTTTCCTAAGATCACCTTATCTGACTTGACTCATATATATACTAGATATTGCAAATAAGGGAAACCATGGGACCTATGTTTCTTAGGGCTTCAACATAATTTTTAAAAAATTTAAATAATACTTCTTAAGCATCCTTAAAAAAGAAAAAAAAAGAAGAGGCTAACACAAAAGCCAAAGAAGATAGGTGTTTGTGAAGATTGTGCATATGGTACATACCTACCACATACTAGTATTAGCTCTCTGAGAATCAGTCTCCACAAAGTATTTTATATCCCACTAGTACAAATAATGGATGAGTAGAAGTACCCTGACATATGTAAAACTTTCTACATTTGTAATATACTACCATAAGCCCACATATAAAATATTAGTAAAAAATATCTTTCTGAGTAAAAAGTAAATGGATCTTTTGTGTTTATTTTTCATGTCATAATGGGTGTCACATGGAAATTACACAATTCAACTTCAGTTTATACTTGGGGAAGGGCCTTCCTAGGATTTGAATTCAGGGCTTTCCACTTGCTAGGCAGGTACTCTAGCACTTGAGCCAGGCCTCCACATCCTTTGCTCTGATAGTTTTTCAGATAAGGTCTCTGTTTTTGCTGAAATAAGCTTGGTTTGGAGTCTTTCTTAACTCAGCCTCACAAAATGCTGGGAAGACAGGCATAAACCAACATGCTCAGCAATTGGTTGAGATACGGTTCTCTGAAACTTGTTCAGGCTAGCCTCAACCTTGATCCTTCCAATCCCTACCTCCTAAGTCACCACCAATGACCAGCTGTTTCTTTGTATATTTATTTTATTTTTAATGCAGCTTTTTTATTGTAAAAATACTGTATAGAGGGGTTACAGTTACTTGAACAAGGTAATAAGTACATTTCCGATCAAGCGTTGTTGCCTCCTCCTTTGTTTTTCCCCTACCAACCCTTCCCACCCACCTCCACATGTTTATTTATTTTCAGATAAAGGCTCACTATTTGGACCAGGCTAGCCTAGAACTTACTCTTTACCTCAGGCAAGTCTCAGACTCTCAATTATTCTGCCTCACCCTCCAGGTACTAGGATTTACAGGCCTATACCACCATGTCTTAGCAAAACTCATTCATCTTTTGTGTTTGTATGTTTGAACCCAGGGCCTTGCCAATGTTAGACAAGCACCCTACCACTGAGCTACATCCTGATCTCTAAAGTATACTTCACATACAATAAAATCCACTAGTTTTAAGCATAAAGTCTACATAGTCACATAAACATCAACAAAGTCATGAAAACAAAAACATTACCATCATTCCAAGAAGTTTCCTAATTCTCCCACATGCTACCCTAGCAAACACTGATAGGCTTTCTGGCCTTACAACCCTACTTTACCCAGATTTTCATATGATTGGAATGGAGGCTATCTAGTCTTTTGGAGTCAGCCCGATAATGTTTTGTGATGCCAGGAGAAAAGAGAAATCAGATGGAACTGCTGTGTACTGTTGGGAGGGAGGAGATAAGAAGATGAGGGAAATGAGATTGCTTACAATGCATCTGATTAGTTCCTGTTGTTTCTAAGGTACATTTTAATACCGGAGAAGAGGTTGCCAGCTGTCCATACTGATCTTCAGGCTTACAGGCTACCTAGTAAGAACCTGGGGGAGATGCTGCTCAGACTGGGTGTCAGTCTCCAAAGCAATCATAGTAAAAGGCTCCAGAAAAGAATGATTGAGAGAGTAGGTTTGGAAGTAAGAGAGAAAATTTCTGGAAGAGAAAACTCTAGTGTTCTCTCAAAAGCCTTGTTGAGGAACAGTTGCAGTTATTCCTGGCTTCCATAAATCCAGTGTGCTCACTTGGGAAATGGTATCACAGAACAACATTCACTAAACATAGTAGACACTCTGTGAAGTTAGCATATCTATGTTCAAGTCCTGGACACCTAGGCTGCATCTTGGTAACATTCAAAAGCCATCTTACATTTCTTCACCTGTGATTTATTATTTGTTACACATTTGCTGAACTCTGGAAATAATAAGGATTTCAAATGAGATAATCTATATAGAATCACAATTTATTTTTCTGTGTACAAGCAATAACTGCATTCCCCATCGTTCCTACATTCCAAAACAAGAATGTGAGTGTAATGTATTACTGGCTGTAATTTTTAAATGGCCACTTCAGATCCACAAGATTATCTGGAGTCACAACCATAACATTATATGATTATTTGGAGCAAAGATTTGTGTGAGAATATTTCACTTGAAAGCCAATTTTACCTATTTGATAAGGGAGGGGCCAGGGTATCTGCCAATCTTCACAGGAATGGACATCCATATGCATGCACCTTCACATTTATATAAAGTAATAGAATGCTAGGAAGGAACCTTATAAAGGTTGTTGAGAAGCAATACAGACAAATGACAAATATATGTACTCATATTAGCTCTGATGATTCAAGGGGAATTTTATATTCAAAAGTTGAACACATACTTTACAGTTGAAAAAATAGTACATGTTGTTTATATCTTTTTCAATTTAATATCTTACAATGGCGTTGTTGAAACGAGGATATTGATTAAAAAAAAAAAACAATGTTAACTAACCTTCACATCTTGCTAGTATTCCCACTAATGTCCTTTCACTGGTCTAGGCTACCTAGGGTCTACACAATTTATTTATTTATTTATATCAGTCATGGAGCTTGAACTCTAGGCCTGGGAGCTGTCCCTCAGTTCTTCAGTTCTTCAGCTCTTCAGCTAAAGGCCAGTATTCTACCACTTCAGCCACAGCACCACTTCTGGTTTTCTGGTGGTTTATTGGAGATAAGAGTCTCATCGACTTTCCTGCCTGGGCTGACTTTGAACCGTGATCCTCAGATCTTAGCCTCCTTAGTAGGTAGGATTACAGTCATGAGCCATCATTGGCATCCAGCCTAGGGTCACACAATTATGCCTTCTTACTACCATATCTTATAACCCTTCTTTATCTTTTTTATATTATTTATTTATTTATATTTATTTATTTTTAGTGCTACTAGTGTTTGAACTTAGGGCCTTGTACTTCTAGGCAAGCACTGAGCCATACCTCCAGCCTTATTGATTAAAAAAAAAATTTCCTGACTTTCATATTTGGAAAGTATTCTCTTCCATTTTTTAGAGTTGGCCTCAATTTTGGTTTGTCTGATGTTTTCTTACACTTGGCTTAAGGTAAGACAACGCCACAGAAGTCATAGTATGTTTTTCTCAACATGGTACCAGTGTGACTTCAACTAGTGGTGTTAACTTTGATTATTCTTTTAAGGTGGTATGTTAGATTTCTTCAGTGCAAGTTTATTATTTTTCACTTTTTAATAAGTAAATATCATATCATTTTTGTTTACTTTGGTGTTGGGGATTGAACCCATGGCTTTATTCATGCTAACTGTATCTAAACTTGAAGCTTTATTCTGTTTTTCAAGAAGGTTTTGTGCTTCTTTAAATTGATGGTCAGGGTTAAATCAAATGTCATTCTCAGAGGGTTGAAAAGAGCCCTGTCTTATGGATATAAGAAATGATGCCCCAGAAAATAATGAAGCCATAATTTACGTGTTTAAATATATTTCTTTCAATCCATGCTGAAATGGATTGTCTGACATTACATGGCAGGATTTTAAGTCCTACCTCCAGGCAAATCTCACAGTTACTAGCAAAAATGAAAGTGTGAAATGCTTTTTAATGTATATTTAACAACACATAGTCTGATGATTGCTGATGTGTATAGTCTCCGTGGACTCCCTTTACTATCAGAGGAGGATGCTAAGAGACAACTTTTTACACATTTAGTCTATCTAAAACCATCACTTGTTTACTTTTCAAATATCCAACAGTCATTTATAACAAAATCATAAAAAGTGAAATACTTTAAGTCTAATTCAAACTTTAAATCTCATGATCACAAACAACTTCCAGGAAAAGTACAATTACCTTTCACAAGTGATAGCTCCGTTATTCTACCTTATGAAAATTGTCTTCCTTTAGCTGATACTAAGATACACCCATTTAAAAAAGAAGAGATACAGTATGGTAGTTGGGGGTTTGAGGGGTAATCCTACTTCATTCATCTTTTTGATTCAGAGATTTACATAACTTCCATTTAAAGGAATTTCCATCATTGAATCCAGTGTCATGTCTGCTTGTGTCGAAGAAGTAAATTTCGCAAACTATACTTAATTCCTTCCTATGGTGTCACTATTTAATAAGGATTAAGGTACCTTTTTTTTTGCATTTATACCGGGTTGCACAGCAAGAGTTCACGTCTTATACTAATATATGCTAAATAGTTGCATAGTATATAGATCATTGTTGTTAAAATAGCAATACTGAAGGCATTTTAGATCACAGAGCGCCAGTGGTCTACATTTGTTTGCTTTGACATTATTAAATACAATCTGTTTCTCTAACTGTGACTCTAATTGCTAGATTTGCATGACAGAAAAGTTTGCTTTGTGGGTTGACTTTTTATTAACAGTGCTTGCATGTTGTTTTCTGCTCTTGCTCTCTGTGTTTCATGAGCAGACAGAACACCTTCAGTTACATTGAATAATTATGCACAATCAATAAGTTTTTATCTTTGTTTTTGTTGTTTCTTTGATATGGCCTACAGGATGCTGCTGGCAAGGTTCTGGACCGCTGGGCCATCATGTCACGAGAAGAAGAAATCATAACCCTTCAGCAGTTTCTGCGGTTTGGAGAAACCAAATCCATTGTGGAGCTAATGGCAATTCAGGAGAAAGAAGGGCAGGCCGTAGCTGTACCATCTTCAAAGACAGACTCAGATATAAGGACTTTCATTGAGAGCAATAATCGCACCAGAAGTCCCAGTCTACTCGCTCACTTAGAGAACAGCAATCCTTCAAGCATACATCACTTCGAAAACATCCCCAACAGCCTTGCATTTTTGCTTCCATTCCAATATATAAATCCTGTCTCAGCCCCACTGCTAGGGTTGCCTCCAAATGGGCTACTTTTAGAGCAACCAGGACTGAGGCTGCGAGAACCAAGCCTTTCAACACAGAATGAATATAATGAGAGCAGTGAATCTGAAGTATCTCCCACACCTTATAAGAATGATCAGACACCCAACAGAAATGCCCTGACTAGCATTACTAATGTGGAACCCAAAACAGAACCAGCTTGTGTCTCCCCCATTCAGAATTCTGCCCCTGTCAGTGATCTAACCAAAACTGAACACCCAAAAAGCTCATTCCGGATTCACCGGATGAGAAGGATGGGGTCAGCCTCTAGGAAAGGAAGAGTGTTCTGTAATGCATGTGGGAAGACATTCTATGACAAGGGTACTCTCAAAATTCATTATAATGCGGTTCACCTGAAGATCAAACACCGATGCACCATTGAAGGTTGCAATATGGTCTTCAGCTCCCTCCGAAGCCGTAATCGACACAGTGCAAACCCTAACCCTCGTCTTCACATGCCTATGCTAAGAAACAACCGAGACAAAGATTTAATTCGGGCTACATCAGGAGCTGCCACTCCTGTCATAGCAAGTACAAAATCAAATCTCACACTTACAAGTCCTGGCCGGCCCCCAATGGGTTTTACCACTCCCCCACTAGACCCTGTCTTACAGAATCCTCTCCCTAGCCAGTTGGTATTTCCTGGGCTAAAGACTGTACAACCAGTTCCTCCATTTTATAGAAGTTTACTCACTCCAGGGGAAATGGTGAGCCCTCCAACTTCCCTCCCAACTAGTCCCATCATTCCAACCAGTGGTACCATAGAGCAGCACCCCCCACCACCCTCTGAGCCAGTAGTGCCAGCAGTGATGATGGCAACCCATGAGCCCAGTGTCGACCTGGCACCTAAGAAAAAGCCCAGGAAGTCAAGCATGCCTGTAAAGATTGAGAAGGAAATTATTGATACCGCTGATGAATTTGATGATGAAGATGATGACCCCAATGATGGCGGAACTGTAGTAAATGACATGAGCCATGACAATCACTGCCACTCCCAAGAGGAGATGAGCCCAGGCATGTCTGTGAAGGACTTTTCTAAGCATAACAGGACCCTGTGCATTTCAAGGACTGAAATAAGAAGGGCAGATAGCATGACCTCTGAGGACCAGGAGCCTGAGCGGGACTATGAGAATGAGTCTGAATCTTCAGAGCCCAAGCTTGGTGAGGAATCAATGGAAGGGGATGAGCACATGCATGGTGAGGTGAGCGAAAAGGTCCTGATGAACAGCGAGAGGCCAGATGAGAACCACAGTGAGCCCTCTCACCAGGATGTTATCAAGGTGAAGGAGGAATTTACAGATCCCACTTATGACATGTTTTACATGAGCCAGTATGGACTGTACAATGGTGGGGGGGCCAGTATGGCTGCCCTGCATGAGAGTTTTGCATCGTCTCTGAATTATGGCAGCCCTCAAAAATTCTCCCCAGAAGGTGACCTGTGTTCTAGCCCAGACCCTAAAATCTGCTACGTGTGCAAGAAGAGTTTCAAAAGCTCCTACAGTGTGAAGCTTCACTACCGGAATGTTCACTTAAAAGAGATGCACGTCTGCACAGTGGCGGGTTGCAATGCTGCCTTCCCTTCTCGCCGAAGCAGAGACAGGTCAGTAAATCTCCATTGGCTGCTCCTGCTGAGGGTGGAGGGTGCCAGTTTCAGTCACGTTGGACTTACTATTAAATGATGCAACTTAAATGTTTCTGATGCGACTGTAAAAATTGTCCACGGTGACCTGGTTATAACTAAGCTGCAATGCTCTTGAGGATTGTTGCTCTTGGTGCTTGTTATGATTAAGCATGCAGAATCATACACCATCTTACCCAGTAATGCACGTCATTTTTCTCTGTGGATTGTGTGTTTGTGTGTGCATACGTGTTTCCATGCATCTAGGTGTGAATTAAGTTATCTGTACACAGTTCCCTGCCTCCCCATTAACCTTTACTTAGAAGCCGCAGCTTCTGTCATTATATATATATATATATATCTATATATATAATTTCTGCTTTGCCTTGTGGCTTTTTAATTAAATCAATATATTATCTTCATACACACATATTTATCCAATATAGAAACAGAAATTTACGGATGGAAAGAACCATAGGTCCAGGACATCGAGACAGCCTGCATCTCCGTAGGTATAACCAGAAATGTTATCATTCCTTACATGAGTATTTAGTGTGTCCTTGAATTCTTTACAAGTCATAAAAATATTAGAAGAAAACAAAACCAATCATTGTTGTATGGGAAAAGGTGTGGTGGCATGGGTTTCTTTATTTTAACTTCATAGTGTCTTTCATTGTAGCTCTAAAATGTAATTTCCCATGTGAATTAGGCACAGAAGGGGAGACATGCATGTGCTTTAGAGATCAGTTAGAATACTTTATGTCCAGCCTTCAGATGACATCACACTCTAGCTATGTAGCTGAAGCACTGAAATAGTTGGACTTAAACAGAAGCAGCTGGCCCTAAACCTACCATGTTCTTTATTAATCCTAAAGAAAATGGCAATGTATGTGGAATGTGTGAAGGTGATCAGTAGTAGGGTAACAAGGTTATCCTTTACATATGGAGTTAAGCAGATTATTTACATTAAGACACCAGCCCAGCTTAACTCACACAATAGATAGATCTTCCTATTGTATTTGTTGTGGGTTTGGTTCTCCATGTTTTTCAAAAATAATTTCAGAGAAAATTTTACTACATGGCAAAAATCAATATGCACAAAAGGAAGAAATTTAGTAAGGGAGTTTCCAGATAGCTACCACTGGAATTTTAGTATTTATCATTGGATAGAGTTATGTGACAAAGTAACATAATGAAAGTACCACCCCAAAGTAGTGACTCATCTAGTATATTCTATTTGATTTTTATATTTGAGCGATCAATCTTCTTAAAAATAAAAAGTAGTAAAAATAATGTTTTTCTTCTACTGACATAAAAAGGATCCAGTTTCTGAAAAGTGGAATCTCTAAGAAAAATAAGTGGCTTCCTTTTTTAAAAAAAAGTTCGTTTTTTTTTGGGTCCAGTCATGGGGCCTGAACTCTGGGCCTGGGTGCTGTCCCTCAGCTCTTCAGCTCAAGGCTAGCACTCTACCACTTGAGCCACAGCGCCACTTCCGGCTTTTTTTTCTGCTTATGTGGTGCTGAGGAATCAAACCCAAGGCCTCAAGCATGCAAGGCAAGCGCTCTACCACTGAGCCACCTTCCCAGCCCAATAAGTGGCTTTCTTAAACAGCTCAAAACATGCTTTGAGGAGAAACTTATTTTCTTAAATGATTTCTCTACCTCCATATACCATTTTCTGTTATTTTCATTTTCAATCCTTGACAGTCCCAGAATATGTCAGATAAAGTAGTTTATACTTTGAATACTAACATCTAATACTATACCCAGTCTCCCCCAAGTCCATGAATAATATTCACTTTTTCAACTTTAAAATAGAGTACTAGTGATAATGAGGTTAATGCATTGGATTTTATTTAACAAAAATAAAACTCTCATGAAAAGCTGCATAAATATTTATGGAAATGGAGTATTTGAAGATAAGCCAAAATTTAAGCTTATTTGCATGAATTCCTGTCATAGTTTTAGATGGTTTGCTGAAAATATTGTAGGTCATAACACTGGAATAAACAGCTGTGGATCCAAAAGGCTACATGTCTTTAATTTATGTCCAATCACCAGAAAAGTCAGTGCTGCCGGTGTTTTGTTCCTGGTGTTATACACCAGGTACTATTAAGGAGGTACTATTAAGTTGCTTTTTGTCTAAGGAAGACATTATTATAGAAGGAATATTACAGTATCTACTTTTAGTCTAAGATTAGAAGCTTGAACCAGTCAGTAGGATAACCAGGATATTCTGAATGGGAAGAATAATAAAAATGTTCTCCCAGCTGTGTTCAGTCTCCCAGAAGACAGCAAGCTTCAGAAGATAGTTCATACATTGCATTTGCGTGAAATAGTATACCATATCTAGTCTTTGTCATTTCAAGGTTTTGTCACACATGATAAATGAAGAAACATACGATGAAAATGTAGAATGAAGTTTTTGCTTCTCACTTAAAGTTTTGCTATCTCAAAACACATATTTTGATTCCACTTTTAAAACATGTTAAAAGGGATACTTTAATCTTGACATAACTGTTTCTTGAAAGAAAATATTCATCTTTGTTAAGACAATCTCTTCTATTACTAGTATAATTATGTATGGCTAGCTACTACCACATAACCTTAGAAACAGCAATGCCATTGGGATCGCAGCTGGTTTCTGTGTCTCAGCAAAGTAGACTCTGGAACATAATTACACTCCTGTTTCAGACTTTTAAGGCTGTTCCATTAACTAACGTCAGCCTGTGATTCAGCCTTTTGGATCCTGTCTCTGTTCTATCCCGTCTCTGCTATATACTTATACTTACCTTTTTCTCTCTTTACTTTGTCGCAGTCAGGAACACCCCAAGATGTTTGTGATCTTAGTTTTTCCCTCTCCGATTCACTGTTGAAACTACGTTTTCTTACCTTTCTTTTGAGCCAGCTATGCTTTTCAAAGAACTCTTCCTTTAATCCTATCATCAACTCTCTGTTTTCCCTTTCTCCTGAGTTTCAGCTTCATCCATCATGATAACACAATTACTTCCTTGTGCAAAGAAAGCATTAAAGAAAATTTTGAGTGGAGGGTGAAGTATGCAGGGCTTCTAGAATGCCTTGGATAAAGCTAACAGAATCTCTCTCTTCTTCATGTCGACAAAGGCAGCCTTCTCATCTTTAGGCTTAGCAGACTGTATGGAAACTATACACACAGGTGTGCTAGGTTGCTTGCAAGACAGTGGACATGAGCGAATTGGGTTTGGGGCCTTCAGATAGGCATGTTAGTAAGAAGAAAGCAGAAATTTGTTAAATATGTTTAAGGTTTTGCAGTTGGTTAAAAAGGATGCCAAGGTCTTTGCTTATGGTCTAGAAGGACCATAAGATTTTTATAAGATCAGAGTAAAGGCTTTTTAAACACAAAGAATGTTCTGTGATTAAAGTGATGGAAAGGGAGGAGAAAAACACACAAGGTTTGTTGCTAATGAGTATATGTTTAATAAATTCAAAAGAACTACCTAGTATACACAAGAGTCAAATTCATCCTAGACACTAAATAGCTGTTAGAATAAAATATAGATAATAGAAGTAAAATGTAAATAATCTTCTCTATAAAGAAATTTGATTCAGTAAGGTGATTGCTAAAGTATTCAAGTATATGTTGAGAACACTGTGAAATAACAGATATTTAAATTCACTCTTTGTTTATGCCTTGAATTTTTTTTCCTGCTAAGATGCTGTTCCGCCTGGAAACGAGGCTGATCCTTAATTTTGAATTACACATAAGAGATATTCCATGTGAAGAAGAAATTCTAACTCTGTGGCATAGATTTAGGATTTTCATAAAGGAAGTTTTCTTAAAAGACAGCACCATAGAATCAGCAGAGCTTAGTTTACCTTAGATCATTTGTTCTCTTCTCAGTTGTCGGATGCTCATAGAGCCTCACTGGCCATAGGTCACCTGTATTGGAGAGAAGTACATGTGTAAATCTCATCTTTTTTTTACTCAGGATCTAAAACCAATAAATATCCATTGGCCCTATTTTCCAACATTCTGGATCCTTTGCTAATTTGTCAAATTTTGCTAATATCTGCTTTCGTGATTGGCAATTTTAAAACTCTTTCACCTAAATATGTGGAAACTAGATGATCTGTATGGAAGGAAGTATTTCTCCTTTGGTTTTCATCCTCCATAATTTCTACCGTCTTTATTCTTCTCTTCTCATAGTGGCCACTAGTAGCTAAAGTTTCTCTTAAATTTTATCAGAAAAGTAAGCTTATCTGCTTCATCTTTAAGGTGCACAAAAGGTGATTCAGCCACGTGAATAAATTTAAAAACAAAATATTGTTTGCCTAAGGTGATTTATAAATAAAAATGAGGCAACCCTTGGTACCAAGTGTGAACCTTCCCTGTGATTGCTAGTTAAATCAGTCCAGATTTACACATGCAAACGTCTTGATTTGCATGGAGGAAGGCATCTGTGTTTGCTTTATTAAAACATGCTGATGTCTCCAGAACTAAATTTGTTCCTCTATGGGCCTCTGGGTAGCTGTAGGTAAAAAGTAAAGATGTATAGTTTGTGCTTGTCTTATTACCTGATTTCCAGCCCTGTACAGGTGTGTAGGAATAAATTAACATGAGGTACCTCTGATAAGCCACTGCATACATTAACAACAGAGGTGAAGATGTGAAAACATGCTACCTGCCTCCTGTTATCACCTTAGCATAGCAACATCCATTTTTTCCATCAGTCTCTGTGTTTGAAAACTTTAGCAAACTTTTCTAATGAAAGATTTTCAATAAATAGACAAGTTCACCAGGCAATAACCTCCAAGAAGTAAGCCACTTAGCACTAAGGAAATAACTAATAGTATATTTGTCCTAATTAATTAGTTGTTAAATATGGTGTGTTAAACCTCTCCAAGAACAAGAGGAGAACATTTTAAGGGATCAACTGTTTCCTGTCCTATGTTTTTCCCAAAGTACAATGCTTCATTTCAAAAATTCTTTTCTAAAGTGAAGTT